AGAAGGATTTAAGTGGTGTGCCCAAGGCCATGCATGGGGTTGGATAAAGCAGTAAAAGGCTAGAATTTATCTGCCTGGCTGTCAGATCCTCTTTTCTTTCTCACCTTGTTGCTCAAAGCTGTTGGAGCTCTGCCTTGGTGTGCAGTGTGCTGCCTGCTAACAGAACCGGCCTTTTCTGAGCCGTCAAACGCCATTGTTGGGCAAGAATATTGAGGGGACAAATTTTGTCTCTAAACTGAACTTGAGTTTTACATGTCTTGTTTTATGGTGCTGTGCGATGGCATGACGCACCATCGTGTATTATAGATTCTTGTCTGCACAAGCAGTACCTTCGGAGTTCTCAGATTTCCTTTGGGCCTTAATGGGTGGAGAAGTGTACTGCTTTATCAGTGTTCAGCTTGCAAGAAAAGACAGAAAAGGGAGCACTGAGGGACAAAGCAAAGTAATTTTAAATGGAAAATGAAGTTATGGCATACAGGCATTACCAGCTAAGTAGAAGATACAGCTCCGTTAGTGTGAGCCATTTTTTGAATATGTTTTGCACTTGGATGGGACAATGTCACTTGGTCAACAAGGAAATTATTTTGAATGGAAGTCCATCAAATACCAGTTATGTTTCATTTTGGAGATCTTCTAGGCAATGGAATTAATAATGATCTAACTCTTATTGCTAAACTTACGTTGTTTCTTTTGTTTGTTTGAAGTTTTTTGGTTTCAGCTTTATAACGTGTAGGTACCTAATTTAGGATAAGGTTAGTTGAACTTGATTTGGTTGTTGCTACCAGATAGTTGCTTGGAACAGCTCCGTCAGGTTTCAGGGTTCAGGTCCATATTTTCATTTGCTTGTTTGTTTGGCTACAATGAGTAGATTACTTCAGCACTAGAGAGGCAAATAAACAATCTAAAGACTGCAAAAAAATGCAGGTAGCTATATGTTAGTGGAGACTGCAGAAAATATTGATGGAACACATGTATCAGATTTACTGTAAAATTGTAGAGCCTTTCTTAAAGCTAAGCTCATTATGAGATACTTATTGAAGATAAATAATCATAAAACTGACAACTTCCTAGAAAAGGCTATTTTTTTAAGAAGCAGTTTTATATAATTCTCCTTATGTCTGCCCTAGTTATTGTACATGGTTAAAGAAAATAGAAGCAAAAAAGAAACATTTACTTGTTTTCCCATTGTATGTTTCAGCTGAAGGGTCTCTTTTACAGCCTGCTTTATGTTCTTCTATAGGTCATTTTTAACTACAAATTTATGTAATCTTAAAATACAGATGTGCAGGTTTAAAGCTGCAAGCATGCTAAGGTCATTAAAATTGGGGTTGAATGAAAACATCAGGTTTTTTTTAAACTCCTAAAACAGAAGCAGTTAACCACAAGTTAAAGGACTTGTTCAGCTATATTGTGTTTATTATAATTTAAATAACCTAAAATGCAAAAAATATGAAGTGTTTCTCTCCCTCCCGCTTCTCCAGGAGAAAGGTGACAAATGAGGCTCTGTCTCAAGCTTTCAGGATTTTTTTATCTTTGCGTTAATTCTCAGGCTGAATAGGACAGAAGGGAGGAGAGTTTGATTTTCTTGTTTGTAAGGACATAATCTTTAGGAAACAGGTGTTTGTTTTATTAAAACCAGAGAAAATGTGAGGGTTCACATTTGTGTAGTCCATAAGGATCAATGATTTTTCCACAGTTGTCAAACTTAATTACACAACTAAATTGAGAACTCCTTTCCAAACACATAAAGCTTTTCATTACTCACTATAGTGAGTTATTTCACTTCCAAACCAGGCCTAAGCAACATGGGTATTAATTTTAAGACTGAATTTTGGAAGCGAGTGATGGTGTTTCTTTGAGCTTAGAGGAGTGTTACTGCTGAGGGAAGCTGCAAGGCGGTTATCCTAAGACCATTAAGGGTTTCCTAACTTCAGCCGAGTGTCGGGGTTGAGGAGGAAGGAGTTAGCAGCCGGAGCGTGATAGCCAGCAGGACTGTGCTGGGTGCACGTGAGGGATACAGATGGCTTGGATTGCCTAACAGGGAGGTGTTATTCCATGCAATGTAAGACTCCACTTCTGGTCAGTGCCACAAAATGGGCTGGATGGTGCATTTTCTTTTTGGGCTTTTGCCTCCGAACTGTTCATTTTGCAGCTCATCAGCATTGACAGTTCTCGTGTTTTAGCACTCTTTGGCTTAACCCTTGTTAAGTGCCTTTATTAATGGAAGACAGTAGAAGGGCAACTTTGTCATCTTCTAGATGGACCTAACCACGTACAGATGGATTTTTTTTCCAGCACTGTTTTGCAGTTTCTTGTTTAACGTAGGGACTGTGACCTTGCAGTTCCCCGTGTGTCAGGGTGTCTGCCACTGCCACTCTGGCAAGGCTGTGGGCCCAGCTGCCTTGGTTCTTCAGTTCTTCTGAATGATATCCAAGCATTCACTGCACAACAGTTGTGAAGGGGGATAACTAAGTTAAAAAAGAAAATTTAAAAGAGAAATTCCACAGAACAGTTGTGCAAGATGCCTTAAAACATCTAAGGAAAATATCTCACATGAAACGCATGTCATTTTTCGTGAACTTCTTTTGAAAGCTCTTTTGAAAAGTAAGGTTGGTGCCCAGTCTCCTGCTAATCTGAAGATCCAGGATGGCGAGGTTTCCTGTGAGGTGTAGTTAGCATACGCAAGAGTGTGTGTGTGAGTGCATGTGTGCTTGTGTGTGTACAAAGAAAACCCCACCTTTTTAAACAAAGGGAAGATATTACAAAAATATGTACATCTAATTGACATGGCTGGAGGAAAAAAATATTTGCAGAAGCTTAATCAAAACATTTGTTCTTCTATTTTAGGATTTCATTAAATATTCTTTTCATGCTATACCTAAATATTAGCATTTTGTGACCACCAGAGTGCATGTTGCTCCGATGGCAGCGAACCTGTCCGTTTCAGAGATCTGAACATTCCCTTTATTCCTCGTATAGGAAACCAACTCAAAACTTTATTCAGTGTGATGCTATGTTTGGCTGTAATAAATTCTTACAAGGGCCTGAAATGGTTGCTTGATGTTGTGGAATGGGCATGTCATTCCCCTGTTAAGTGTAATCTCATCCTTTAAAACATAGTGTCTCTAACGAAGAAACACGGTTATGGAAATAGCACAAATCATGTAACATTTTTGTTCTTGGAGAACCCAAACTGCTGGTGTCTTATAGTGACACTGGACAGCTTTTACTCCAACCTGGTGTGCTGGCCATGGAAAACGACCCCCTTTAAACTTCTAATGCTAGAGTAGTACCTTTCATTTCAAACAAACTTCTCTTTTGTGAACATTTGTTTTCCAACAAGGTGGCTTTTTAATGACACAGTAGAAAAAATGTCCAATGGGATGGCTGGATATAGGAGAAATTTGAGTTTGGAGGAGAGGTACTGTAAGTAAAACTGTTGGTAGCATGAAGCAGTCAGTACTGGAAGAACTAGTTGTGTGCGTCTGTGAGTCTAATTGGAACCCTAATAACCAGAGGCAAAAAAAGTCTGTTCATGCTGTACAGAGATGGTTTTGGTAAATAAATACTGATGTGCATGTAGTAGGATGGAAAACAAGACTTTGTGTTGTGCTTTTTGCTTACATTGGTGCAGTTTTACTTGGGTACTGTGATGCTAGTCATGTTACCTCTTCCTGGCTTGATTTTCCTGCTGTCTTGTGCAAAGCCATAGAGCACAGAAAAAAATGGCCCATTGAGAAGAAATTAAATATTTAAATCAGAGATTTAGAACATCCCATTTTTATGAAATATGCGGTTAAGTCCTTGGTATTCATTACCATTCCTCAGCTGCAGTGCTCCATGCAGCTATTTGTGTTACCCCAAGATCTCTAAAAGGAAAGAATGAAACAAATAATTTTGGTTTTTCCCGAACTTGCATTTTCTGGAAGAATGGGATGGTTCATTACCATTCCTCAGCTGCAGTGCTCCGTGCAGCTATTTGTGTTACCCCAAGATCTCCAAAAGGAAAGAATGAAACAAATAATTTTAGTTTTTCCCGAACTTGCGTTTTCTGGAAGAATGGGATGACAGTTCTGGGTTTTATTATATCAAAGATTAGCTCATCTGTCACCCTGGGCCGTTATATAATGGTAAAGTCATGCCTGCTGTCATTAGTCAACTCCTTGATTAGACTTGCGGATAGAGAGATTTTACTGGTGGTTGTAGTGGTACCACAGATGCAGTCTAGTTTGTTGTTTAAATTTACAATTTTGGTTTCATCAGGTTAAAATACTTTCTATTGCACTTAGAGAGTCGCACAGTTTCTGACTAGTCTTCTGTAAAATTCAGTCACATAAAACTGTAAGCCAGTTTGTCTAATTTGAGTAGGTGTAGTTCCATTAAAGGGAATATTGCCTTTTACTGGTTTTGTTGTGCCTAAATCAAAACTTGTATGATTTTTAGGTGCAGGTCTTCTGTCTTGATTTGAGACTAGGAAAGATGGTCGTGAACCTAAACTTTTGTCTTGCGAGTTTAGTCTATTGTGTGACCAGAAAATAGATTCCTTAAATCTGGATCATCACATTCTCTGGTTGTTTATGCTTATATATTTATCTTGTTTATTTAAATTTTCTCAGATAGAGATCTGCTTGTATTCTTACATTAGAGTTACTGTAAACAAATGCGGGAGGTAATGCAAAACAGTTTGTGTAATTTAAAAAAAAAGTTGCCTAAACAGCACTGTAAAAACTGAATGCAAGAATGTGATTAAGCTGTCCTGGGGATATCCATGCTAAATTTCATGTGGTTTAAATAGTGATGATACTTAAAAATTGACCATTTTTGTTTACAGTGCTTTTTTTATTCAATATATAATTATTTTGGAATCGTAACTAATATTTTTTTCTCTTTTTTGCAGACTGGACTTTGACATTCTTTTCATGAAAGAGGTTTCCAAGTAGTTGTCTTGTAATAACTTTGAGAAGTTCTATGTAGCTCTTACTTCCAAGAGTGCTGCAAAAATGATTACTTCAGATTTGCCAGTGTTACAGTGAGTATATGTTTCTCTATATGTTTGAAATCTTCAGTGTTAAGAAGGCAGAAGTAAACAAGAGAGTTGATTGTGAGGGTAAAGCACAAGCTGGAGAGAAGTGCAGATTAGCGTGACTGTTCCAGGCCTCCTGTGTTGTTGTGTGCTGAAAAACTGTGTAAAAAATGAAACACATTCAAAAGGTTTTTCTTTATGGTGATTTAACTTTGCAGTGAAAAGCAAAACAAGATCTTTGCCACTTCTATGCTTCTGTGTGATGTGAGATTTCGGAAATGTGAATAGCTTTCAGTCATAATTTACCATATTTGTGTATTCCAGTTGTATACTGTTTCTTACAACGAGCTGCATTTATTGTGCAAAACACCTTTGGCCTCTGCAATTGAAGAGAGCAAGTGGTGTCAGCATGTCTTGATCTCATTGGGAAATACGAGTGACTTACACAAATGGGAACATCACTGTGCCTAGATAAGTGAACTATTGGGAAGGATAGAGTGAAAGTCTATGAGAGGAGCTAGAGAGTAGATCAAGTGGAATTAAGAAAGGAATTTTAGAAACAGGAACAGAGTGGAGCTTTATTTGATGTGTTGGGCTTGACCATGGCTGGCTGCCAGATGCCCACCCAGCCGCGGTCTGGCTCTCCTCCTCAGCAGGGCAGGGGGAGAAAATAAGATGAAGAAGCTCGTGGGGCAGGGTAAAGACAGGGAAATCACTCACCAGTTACCCTCAGGGGCAAAACAAACTCGTCTTGGGGGAAATTAATTTAATTTATTGCCATTTGAGTAAGATCTGGTGAGAAACAAAGACAAAAACTAAACCGTGTTCCCTCTCCCGCCTGCCCTTTGCCCATTTCGACGTCACCCCTCTGTTCCTGACTCTGTGAGACAAAAACTAAACCGTGTTCCCTCTCCCACCTGCCCTTTGCCCATTTCGATGTCACCCCTCCGTTCCTGACTCTGCAGCTCACACACACAGCCCGAGGCCCTCCGAAGGTGGCAGAGTGGGTGCCCGCTCCAGCGCAGGCTCCCCTGGGGCCAGGGGACGCTGGCAGCACCTTCCCCCCTCCTCCAGCAGCGGTCAGCGGTCAGCCCTGCCTTTGGGAGCTCCCTCAGGGGCACCCCATGAGGCAGCCCCTGCTCTTCTGGGGCACCCCATGAGGCAGCCCCTGCTCTCCCCAGAGCCCACCCTGCCGCCGCCACCTTGCCACGTAAACCAAGTACAGCCGGTAATTATCTAACGTGAGGGTTTTTGCTGGGAATGAACATGTGAAAATAGGAATTATCGCAGGGTGTAAAAGCCTCAGTTTATCAAGGTTGAGTGATGTTCCACAACTACAATTTCAGGTGCCTTTATTTAAGAAATTGAATGTTTGGACAACTGTAAATTTACTTGTCTGACCTGAATAATAACACGCTCTGCATTGCAGTTTTTTCTTGTATTTTTAAAACGTATTTCGAAAAAAGTTAATTTCTGCAGTGGGTGAGCAGGTGGCTAAAGACAGGGTTGGCACTGAGGGAGGAGCGTCAGGCCTTGGGGGTCTGGTTAGCTTTGAGGGTAGCTGTGGAAAAAATTTTTCTTGGTTCATATTTTCCTGGATGTGCCACATTCGAGAAGCAAGAGTGTGCTTGCAAACTGTGCTGAGGACAAAAAGCTGGGAGATTCTGTCACGGGAAGGATGGTGGGAAAGGGATATTCCCATTTCCAGTTCAAGAAGCTGGATAGCCTTAAGAAATGAACAAAATATCATAGAGTTTAAGGTTAAAAAGTGCATATTAATAGATTTGGTGACTCTGCACACCAGCTGAAAAACCTGAGGGACTTTAAAGATGTCGGCATGTTATTTAATCAGAAGATGATGGTGAGCCAGCACATATTAATATTATGCAACATTAAAAAATGAAAGGAAACATGCATGTTGTTTTGTTTCTGGTAGAGCTGGGAATCATTTAATGCCACTGTGTGAAGTGTTGGTGAGATGTTGTCATCAGTAATATCTATAGTTTTGGTTACTTGTAAATGAGATGAGATCTTTCTTTTTACCAAAAAAACCGGCAGGATTTGCATGTAAAGGTTTAGAGACTGTCTTCAGGGCTCAGAACATTAAGTCTAGTGTGGACGAGGTATCAAAGAAAGTGATAACAGCTAATTCAGTAGATCCCAACCAGACTTTGGTCAGAAAGGAGTCTGGCTAAGGGTGAGAAAACCTGAAGCAGCCTTCGGTTTGGGGATATTAGCTTCACACGTTTAGCTTTGGGAAGCCACAATCTGGTTCCACACAGAGAAAGCCAAGGTTTACTTTCTAGCTCTTAAATAAGCAGCTTTGAAGGATTATTATAATCTAGCACTCCTATGCCTTATTTCTACTTTTTCATAATGTTTTCTAATCTTTTTGGCTACCCCCTTTAAACAAAGGGTCCTCAAGTCAATGTGAGACATTAATATGCTTTGCTTAGGACCATGTTAAATATTCCCTCCCAATTTCTTCTTTGTTGAGACAACATGAAAGGAGGAATGTTTAATCTTTCTGGATTCATAGAAGTGGCTTCAGAATGCAATGAAGACAGAATTTTACTTATTGGTGTTTCAGATGTAGGGGGGAAAAAACCTCTGGTGTGTTTGACCTGGGTGAGTGACTGTTATGAGTCTTCTCTCAATGGGATGACTCATATTTGCTATGAGGCATGTTCCTCTTCAGATTCTGAAGATCAACCATGAGAGCTGATTCATCCATGATTCATGAGCCTGTTCATTTAGCCGTTTTTCTTCATGAATGCTTTTTCTCACAAGGCTGAGTCTGGTGGTAGCAATTACTGAATTTGTCTCTGCCAGAACCTTGAACCACCTCAGCAGCACACATAAAAGCTTACAGAAGCATTTTTATTTACAAAAACTGATACATGAACATAGGTTTTCGGTGTGGTGTGTTTTTAAGCGGGGGTGGTATAAGCTCTATAGCTAGGGCTGTATGTTGTAGTAGAAGGAAGGTAAATTTGTTTTGACTTATTTTGCAAAGATGTGAAATTTACTGTGTCTACGGAAATATGTTCTTCAGAAGCATGACGTGGTAAAGGGCTGCCCAGTAGTCTGTTAATTCTTCATTACCACATGGCTAGTTTCAATGGCTAGTTGTTGTAACTTCGAAATAAATTTCAGTGGGATCCTGGAGTTCCAGCTAGTTTTCTAGGATGCTCTAGCCACCACAGAAACCAGAAAGAAAAGCACAGTAAATTTGAGCCCCTGAAAGGGGTTATCGCTTGCTTTTCTCTGCCCACCCCAAACTTGTAGGTCTCCCGCACTCTGCCCAGTTCTCTTACATCTCCATCATGTGAAAGGTGTCTTAGAGAGGAAAGTTTTGGCCTTGGGCATCACCACCTCTCCTTTTCTTAGATGAGGGCAGGTCTCCTTAGGCCTAGATTATTTTCCCTCCCAACAGCTTCAGGAAAGATAAATTGTGACTAAGCGCAAGCTTTCCCCTCAGGTGACTAGTCACACACACACACACACACACACGTAAAATAGAGAAAGGATAATGTTGCTCTATTAAGATGTGGATGACTGCCACCAGAAGTAAAATAGAGAAAGGATAATGCTGCTCTATTAAGATGTGGATGACTGCCACCAGATAAATTACTTCCTAGCAAGTCTGCAAGATGTGTAGGGAGTGAGGGAGATGGATGCTGGCCAGGTGCTCTTCTCAATGAGTGTTAAAAACCTGACAGAACTGCAGGCAATTAAGAGATGCTTTACTCCTCAGAGTTAAGAAATAAGAAAAGGGGCATGTGTGTGTACCCAGAGCAACTGTAAGGCCTTAGCAAGCACTGCCTCCCAAACTGAAGGGACTGAGGGCTGCAGCAGAAGGGCCTTTCTGTGCAGGAGTTGCATGATTCGGACAGAATTCCCTGCTGCTTGAAACGATGTTTATTTTAATGTTAAATCAGCCAAGGACTGTAGGTTGTCCTTCATCCTGTCTCCCTACTCCAAATAATGTGAGTACTGAAGGGAGCTTATTTTCTGATGTTTTCCCCTTTACACACTTACCTGCTTTGCTGGAAGAGGTCTCCCCTCTGCCTCACATGTTTGTTAGGGTGAGGTTCATCTTGTTCGGTCTAGATCACCTTACCATCGATGGAGAGAGAAGAAAATTTGTAAAACAAACTGTCTGACCAATTTTGGACACTGACCTTAGCATGAGGTATGTTGCACCTTAAGGTTTTCTGTTTTCCGCATTGTATGTGTCTAAAATTTAGGTTAGATGAACCTCACCCTTAGTGCTGATTTATGGAGCCTTTCCCAAAAGGCTTCCAGCAAACCAGAGAAGTTTTACCAGAAAAATATTAGAGAAGCATGGTTGTTAGGTTGAAGACAGCAGCCTGTTTAATAAAAAAAGAAGAGAAGGTAGTTAATAATTAAAATGTTCCTTCCATATGCTGTGTTCTGAAGCAATTGAAATTTCCAGAACTAAATACACAGATCTCGGTAGGTTTTGCTAGACCCAGACAGAGTGTGTAGCAAAGGTAAGCTGTCTGTGGACTAGATGCATGCAAAATGGTAGTACAGTTTAATTTATACAGCTCCAGTGTTTCAAGGGAAGTGTTTGAGCCATTTGCCTAGAGGACTGCTGAATCTGTTTTTAATAGAGAAAAATCTTTATCCTGATGATATTTTAGGCGGGCGGTTCGGTAAGCTAGCAAAGCTGCAGCATTTCCCCAGGAATGGGAGTATTGCTTAGACCACACCATGCCTATAATTTTTCCAGTAAGGACCAGAGAGAAGCTTATTTTTTTCTACAGAGAGCAAAAGAGAATGGCTTTAATTTCTCTACAGCAAGAGGAAGCAGCAGATATTTTTATGGGGTTCCTTCTGTATTCAGAAGTTAATTAAATATTTTGTTGTTGTGAGGCAATACGTATTTTTGTCCAACTGAGCTGCAGTGTGGTGGCTGGTCTTTGAGTAAAGGCTGGATCCATCCGTCCATGTAGGAGATGTTTTCAGCTGTATTCACTGCATTGCTTTTCACCAGTGTAGCCCTATTTTACCAAATCATTTTGAACTACATGTGGGGTTTCTTTTATTTGGTTTTAGTCTTTTTACAGGCTGGCTTTTTTTGCTAATTCAGAGCTTAATACTCAGTTTTTCAAATGTAATATTATATGAAGCAGAAAAGCTGCTTTAATTTTATCACAACAAAGCTGCATTTTCAGTATTTTGTAGAGATACTGTTTTACCAAGCGTCTCATTTGGGAACCCAAATGTACTCCAACACTGTTTTTAATTTAGGGTTCTGGGCTTTCTGGGATGTGTAGAGTGTTTAGAGATAATCCGTTGAAGTTGCTTTTGTAAAAGGAGATTCATATATGTTCTGCTGCATTCTAGCTTTTGTAAAGGATTCTGTGGACTCCTTGGGTTTTTAGTGCTTGCAAATTGGAGAAGCTTGGAAAATAATGTCATAATATTGGAAATTCATCATAGTTCTGCGCAATTATTTGGGTTAGAGCAGACCTGGAACAACACAGTAATTTCAGTAAAGAGAAGTATGAGACATTCTTGATTCTGATACAACGATGTTTATATCTTTCTGCATTACTAAATAGCCTTCTCAGTGATAAAGCAAATTTTTGAAGTATTCCTGATTTATAAAACAAAATTTAAAAAAACCCCAAAACCTCAGACAGTGTGGAAGATCTGTGTACATCTTGGCTTGCTGAAGCGTCTCAGTTTCTGTAAACCAGACTACCACCTTGTACTTTGGAGGCTGTAGAAAATAATGAAAAAGGTCTGATTTTCACCTTCCTCTTGCACAAGTTTTACAGCACCTTAACTCCTTTCATTTCAAGGGGATGATACTGGATTTAGGGAAATTTCTGGTTAGAGCTAGACTTGACCCATCTTGAAGGAATCCAGGACATTTTTACAGTTACTCTTCATTTACAGAGATCTCATGCACTGATGGTCTTGCAAACTAAAAATAAAGCACATCAATAACAGGTATGGTTTTGCTTGTGGGCTCTTCTTGGGCAAAATCTGATGCCTCAGAAGATCTGTGACAAGCTGAGTTCCTTCAAGCAGCCAGGTCTGTTTTGAAGGCAGGGAAGTACCTGTGCATCTGGCTTGGGGGATGGTGGTGGTGTGGAAATTGGGTAGTGTTTTTTCCCTACCTGGTATGGTCTTAAGTCTAAAAGAGGAATGACTGAAAAATGATACCGTGGGCTTCTCTGCTAATAGTCATTGAGCAGTGTCGAGGTTTTTGCATTGTACTACTGAAAATGTTTTTTTAACCGCAAGAATCATAAATGTCTTCAGATCAAAGTGAGTGTTCTGTTTTGTGCCTCATGGTCAGTGTTAATCCTCTCTTTATTAACAGCTGCACAATGCCATTGTCTTTGAATGTGACTAAAAACATGATTTAACCCTGGTGGGAACTTGTGTAACTATTCTAATGATCTGATAGCTGGATTGGACTCCAGTTTACTTTCTCATGGCCTTGAAAGCAGCTCGGAAGTAGTTACTAAAAGTAAGTTGATACCAGTGGGATCCATTCTGGGATGGATATGTTGAGAATGTGCTGTTTAATATAGCCAGTTTTTGAAGTCTAACATGGTTTCAAAAGCAGCTGTTAATTTAAATAACTTGCAGTCTATAAAATGACATTCCAGCCCATAAAAAGGTAAGGCTTTTTGCCAAGGTTAGCAATGCTTAGTTCCTTAGTTTGCAGAAGAAATGTGGCAAGCCTTTTAATGATGACTTTTTTTTTGTCCTGGCTTAGGACTAAATATTTAATCAGTCAGTTATAGAATACTTGTTGATTTCAAATCATTTTAATTTATCTAGTGTTTTTCCCCCCCTAGGGATTCTACAAATGAAACTACTGCACATTCAGATGCTGGCAGTGAGCTTGAAGAAGCAGAAGTCAAAGGAAAAAGAAAAAGGGGCCGTCCTGGCAGGCCTCCAGTATGTGTCATTTAGTTTTGTTTTGTTATGCATCTATTTAAAATTGACTGCAAACTGTTTTTCATCTAATCATCTTGTGGTCACATAAATAGGCTTTTAATGAGTCCTATGTCAAACTTCATGAAGACTTGTAGCATGAAATATTTATCATATTGATATACAAACAATGTTGGGAGTGTTTAAAAAGGGACATAAAAATGAGCTCATAATAGTTATTATTTTTCTTTCACGAGCTACTTACGTGAACATTACATTTTTGTTGTTATTGTCATATTACAACATTGTTCCAGACACGGGAATAATCTCAGTAAGCGTGACCACTTTCTGGTTTGAAAGTTGTAATGAATTTTAAGTGACAAATGACATTTGAGCCATCCTTCAAGTGACTGATAATCTCTTAATGTGAACAGAAGAGCTGCAGTGTAGTATTACCTAAATGCCTCAGAAGTTCTATTAACACACTTTAAAAATTCATGTGACTAACATACACTGTGTCCTACAGATAGACTGGGAGCTTCAGCCTATTCTCTAGCATAGTGCAGCAGATGCTGTTGCTGTCTGCTGTGTAAGATTTGCTGGTCTTTGCCCGTTGCTGGCCCACGAATGGGAAAGTACAGAATTCTGTTACATGTAGTATTTAAGGAGTCTTTCTCTTCTTTTTTTTTTCATTTATTTTGTAAAATAGCCAATATATTTGGAAATACAGAAAAATTTCTGTGTGTCAAGTTGTCCTTCGTTTTAGTTCTTCAGGGTCATCAGACATTCTCTTGATTATGTCACTTGAAGTACACACTATGGAATAAGATTTTGGGTGGGAAGTTCTGTGTGTATGTTATTAATGGTTTTGATTCTCCTCTGTCTGCGAGTACACACCCAGTATGAGTGTGCTACATATACAGCACTAGTAGATTGAGAGGTTTGGGGTTTTTTTCACCCTAAGACCTTCCACCCTAAGTCTAACTACTTACATGAGTTGGTGCATCTGTAAGAATGGACAGAACCATGTGTTCCTCTCAAGCACACTGGCCAAGGTGGAGCAGACTGCTCCTTAGTATTTGTTTTCAGTTTGCGTCACGGTTTCTGGCCTTACTTTGGGAGCCAACATTTTTAATCCTGGGCTTTTCTGCACATGTCATCTTCCTTTTCAAAAGCTTTTGAATGTTTCCTGTGATGGCATGTATTTTTCATCAGATGGACAGTTTGCTCACAAACATGGAGCTTCTTCACAGGAAGCTGTAAAGCAGCATGTACAGAGAACCAGTGATCTGTTTATATAACCTGTAAACAAAGGGCAAATTCAGAAATGAGCTGAAGAATATCTCCTTAGTAAATCTATGAGTTTTTGCAGATCTAATAAAAAAAGAGGATGGTGTAACCTGATTGTAACCCAGAAGATTGTCAGAATGTAGGAATTTAAGTTAAAACAACACTCATGGTATTTTGTACCCACCACACAGTCACTGGAAAGGAAAGGTTATGAAAGGTGTTTCTCATCCCTCTATTTGATCTTACTAATAACTCCTATGGGAATATTTGCTGAGGCACTCTAGTGGTCCTGCTGTCAAGTTTCTACAGGAGCCAGTTGCTCTTGTTATACTTAGATCAACTCCAGGCTCATGAAGTGTCCGTGATTGTAAAGTGACGAAGATACAGAGGAAGCGGCCATTGCTTCGTACATAAAATGGTGGGCTGTGAGCTGTCCGTTGCTGCAAAGGAGCAAGACCTTAGGGTTATCAGATGATTCCATGAAAGCATCATCTTAATGCTCAATAGAGGTCAAAAAAACCCCAAATCCAGTCTTAAAACTCTGAGGAAAAGAATAGAGAACAAAACAAATACTGTGTCCTTTATAAAACTGATTTGCCAAAATTTGGAATACTTTGCACAGTTCTAATTTTTCTTCCCCTCTTGACCTCTGCTCCAAAACCTCAAGCAGGGTGTATTAGGACTGAAAAAGGTTCAGAGAAGAGAAACAGTTACGGTAAATCATGGAATCAGGCTGTGAGGGACCTCAGGCAGTCTCATTGCAACCTCCTCCTTAGAGCACGCTCAGCTTTGGGATCAGACCACGTTGCTTGGGGCGTTTCCAGTCTGGTCTTGAAACCCACCCAGGCTGGAGACTGTACAGCCTCTCTCAGCAACCTGTTTCACTATTTCATGAAAAATTTCTCCATTGTAGGTGATCAGAACCTTGCTTGCTTCGGTTCATGACTACCATCAGTTGTCTTCCCACTGTATGCTGCTGCAAAAAGCCTCACAGGGCACGTGTTCCCAGCCCCCAACTCTACTGATAGCCCTCTGCTGAACTTGTTCTAGTTTATCAATATGTCTCTCGCATGGAGAGGCCCAATACTGGGCATGGTGTTCCAGATATGGGCTAAGAAACACAGAGTAAAAGGTTATAATCACTTTCCTTGGTGTACTGCTGTGTTCCTCTTTGTACAGCCCAGGGTGCTGTTGGCCTTTGCTGCTCAGGCACATGGCTGTGTCATGCCTAGTTTGCTGTCTTCCAAGACCTTGAGGTCTTTTCCACAGAGCTGTTCCCTGACTAGCCAGTCTCCAGTCTGTGTTGGTGCAGGGATTTATTCCTCTGCCAGGGGCAGCTCTTTGCATTTGTCCATGTTGAATTTTGAGTATACTGTTAGCCCAGTCCTCTAGACTGTCAATAGTAGTCTTGCCCTTGATGTCATTAAGCAGTCTCACAGCCAGTTTGGGGTCATCTGCACACTTGACAGGAGCACACTCATCCCCTTTGGCTGTCTGATAAACATGGGAAACTGGACACATTCCAGTTAGACTCCTGTCATACTTCCACATGGCCAGCCTCCGGGTGGAGGATGATCTGTTAACCACCGTGCTCTGAGCCCAACAGTTCAGCCACTTGTCCACCTATCTAGCTGTCTGCCTGTCCAGATCACAGCTTCCCAACTTGGATCCGAGGCTGTTGTGGGAGACTGTTGAAAACCTTGCCAAAGTCAAGATAAAGGACGTGTATTGCTCTCCTCTCATCCACAAGTTCAGTCATTTTTGCTACTGTTTTTTGGGTGACTTGACCAAATGTATATGTTTGGATACACAATCAAATCCTGCCTTCGTAATTGATACTGCAGCAACACAAAGGCATAAATAAGGTGGTTCTACAAAAAAGTGACCAAAAAGGAAAAAGCCACTTGGTGTCTAATATACTTGAGGAGAAATACAAACACCTGGGAAAGTCTAATCTAGGCGATTATAAATTTGTAACATTATTTGATATTAAAAGTCAAGGACTTAGTAATTGAGGTAGTGACTTTGCAAACACTGTTTTTCACTTTCCCTTCTCCTCCACATTGCTCACCTATCCATGTTGCTAACCCATCCACTTTCCTCAGGTGAATTAGCTGTTTCTTACAGGAGGTGCAACTCTGACATTTCTCCCCCACTCCTCTGTCCACTAACACTTTTATTTCCTCCACAGGTGCCACCTACCTTTACTCTCAGATGTGAAACAGATTAAAATATTTAGTTAAATTCAGAGCTGTTTCTCTTAACTGATACTTAGCTTTGATGTTTTGCATTTCTGTTCTAGACCTGAAGAAAGGCTTTTCTGCCCAAAGGCTCTTCTGGTTTTTTTGTGGTTTTTTTTTTTTTTTTCCTAACTAAAATATTATGGTCTAGTAAGATATGATCTCACCCTGCAAATGCTGATTTACTTATGTCCTTGGGCCTTCACAGCTACAGTGACGTATCTGCCATAAACATATCGATCTCTTTTGGAAAGAGTTTACTCTTCCGTGCTGTGTTGTCTAGCTGCATGGTTCTATTACAGAGCTGCACAGAATGTACTCCATCAAATACCTGTATGTATTTAAATAGGTTTCTGTTGTAGTGTTACAGAATGGAGTTGACCTTCTATTAGAAAGACAGACTGCTACTAGAGGATTTTGCAAATATTTTTCCCAAAGAAGGACATTCCTCTTGGCAGATTTGAAACTTTTGTAAGGAGATGGTCCTCATTTGAAAATTTGCCATTTGTAGCCAATACCTCTTCACCTGACAGAGAACCTTCATGTTTTGGAGAACCTTCTTTTCCTGAAAATGCTGCTTTCCAAGTTACCCCTCCACTTCTGTCAGAGACTAGTCTAATGAGCATTTGACTGAGTAGCCAGTGAATTTGCAAAGAAGTTAAGTGCATTGGTCCTTCACAATAACTCTCGCAGTCTAGTCTGATTGTCCTGAATTCACCAGCCCTTGCAGTAAATTTAGCAGGAGCTGCACCATGTCCAGCTCTAGCAATGACAAAGGCTGCGGCTGGCCTTCCCCTTGCCCGTGTCCGCTTCAAAACATGGAGTCCTGTAGACCAGATGCCTGTGGAACGACTGGCCAAGAGGTGACTGTCCAGTCAGTGGGATACTTTGGTGCATGTATTTATGTGGTACTGTACGTGAGCATACCATCTGGATATACATTCAGTGCATTGTGTGGGGTGTATTTACAGAGTGACCTGTAACAGTCCTCTGGTTGAAGTTGCTGAGTAACATTGGCCAAAAATGCCTTTTCTGTCTACTGCATTATTGAACTATACAGGTATGGATGCGCTCTCCTGTTCTAGGTGGCAGATTTGAAAGTCCGGGGGCTTATGATGCAATGCAGCTTTCACATTAGTGAGCTGGGGCTCGGCTCCGTTATTTATCTATGCTTTTGTGTCTCCTCTCTTGGATCAACGCTCTCTGTTCAATGTTGTTGGCGTGCCTTATTTGAACCTGCCTGGCTGTACCTTTCCAGGACCTCAGAATGGCTCGGCTTAAACCTCAGCTGTTAGACGTTGAGGGAGCAGAAGAGATTTCTGGCTGTATTTCAGCTCTGAAATAGGAGTAGACAGATCAGCCTGTTTTGACTCGGAGGACAAGAAGAAATGTCAGTCTGTTCGAGAGGTGGCAATTCTGAGATCTCTGCTGGTGTCTCTCTCATCCCATACTCAGGGCCACAGCATGCCTTTCTCCCACTCCTCAGATCTTCTA